CCGGATTTCAGCGATGTCATTGACTTCTCTAAACGTGTACCAAGTGACAAGGTGAGAGAAATGTCAGGCCAAGAGTGAGAGACACATGAGTGATTTAGTAAAGTTACAAACTGATAGTAGTCAGAATCAGACCTGATGAAGAGGAGGCACTGTATGACATGTACACATATGTCCCACAGTTATAACCAAAATGCTGTAATTCTTTATTTGAAAGGTTTTTTCCTCACCTGTCCTCTTCAGACGAGGAGATAGGATAAAGGAGATAGGATACAGGAGATAGGGAAGGAAGCGTGTCATTCATGAGGAGTTAGGAGGTACAGTAGCCTAGAGGGTACAAACCTGACTCTAGATAGGGCCGTTTGTTTTCTTCACAGCCGCTGTAGTGAATCCTACAGTAGTGTGGAAGGCTGCGCTGTATTCATATGGCTGCAATCTACAACTTCACCACTAGATGCCACTAAATCCTAAACACTGGACCTTTAAGTTCCTTAAAATAAGAACTTGTTGCATTAGATTTCAGGCTCTCTATTATTCTGGTTAATATGTCTACAAATGAGTGATGTTCCTTTGTGTGCGTCTGTGTGATTGATAGATAGTACCAGCTAAACTGGACCTTGCTGCAGTGAGTGATGTGGACGCTGCAAGGGTTGGATTAAAGCCTGTCAGAGACTGGAGGGCCTGCGGCCTGCAGGGCTACCCAGGTAAACACAGGACAGATGGAGAGAGAGAGTCATCAACACTACATTCAGTATTTACTTAAGAGTGACAACTGGGAGCAAAATAAAGACAATGACACATGAAAGGGAGGGCAACTTAAATAGTTTCAGTAAGATGCTGTTCCACCAGGATCCTGCTGCTGCCCCTTGTCATAGATTCTCCAACCCATATAACCCATTGTTATAAAGTGTAACAGTGGCTTTCATCTTAAAGATCCCCTCCAGACATGTGATTTTTGACTGGGGGGGGGACTTTCTTCGCCTATGACCCAACGCTGTTCTGTTGTGTGTTGTTTAGGATTCATCTTCATCTCCAACCCGTTCCTGCTAGGCTCCCAACCCTCCTGGGTCAGACAGTGTCTGAAGACCTACCCTCAGAAGCCCAACGTCTGCAACCTGGACATGCACATGTCTCCCTCTGAGACCCAGGACATCTGGGGCAAGAGTGTGCATAGCCTCAGGTGAGTCTAGTGGTGCTCCTGCCCTCTGATGATTCCTCTCACTGTGAAATGTCCTGGGATTAGTTTACACAGAGAATCTGTGGAGACACACAAATTTAAGATAAAATCAGCTGTGTGCTCTGTGTTTGATCCCTCCGCAGTCGTCCTCCCTCTGGAAAGAGTCAACCAAAGACTCTTCTGGAGAGGCTGCGCTGGGTCACTCTGGGCTACCATTACAACTGGAATACCAAGGTAAGCAACACATCCTGCTGTGCGTGGAGGATCCTGTATGAAGGATTCAGTTGATGTAGAGTTATAAATGCAGATATGAATACCTATATTACCGTTATCACACAGTGCTAATTCTTTCACATTTCTCAACTCATTTTATTCTTTCTTATGATGATTTGAAATCCTCTGACCCCTGAGGGTATGCACTGACATCACACTTTCAAGTGATACCACCCCCCTCACTCCTACGCAGTGGCAAAACTGTAAAATTCCTCTTTGATTCCCATATAGGGGCCATCAGGAGAATTTAGACACAAACTGTGTACCTCTTTTGCCAAATGTAAGTTTTCTTTTAGTCTATTTACAGTTTGTGAGATTAGGCTTTTATTTTGAAAAACTTTGTGTTATTCAACATTTGACATCTCGTGGCTTTTCTTCTTCTCTGTAACAGTCCAAATGTCTCCTTTGTTGTTGTTCCATTCACAGACTTACTCTGCCAACCATTACACTCCTTTCCCAGCCGATCTGCACTTGCTGTCCCTCCAAATAGCCTCCGCCTGTGGGTTCCCCGGGTTCAAGGCAGAAGCTGGAATCCTCAACTACTACCAATCGGATTCGTCTCTGGGAATCCACGTGGATGAATCTGAACTAGACCACAGCCGTCCGCTGCTGTCATTCAGGTGAGAGCGGGGAAAGTCTTACAGTAAACATGGCTGAGAGGACTGCTGCACTATGGGAAAGAAAGACTTCATTCACTGTGTATCTTGTTGTCTTTTCTGGTAGTTTCGGGCAGTCGTCCATCTTCCTCCTGGGAGGCGTCTGCAGACAAGACCCCCCCACTGCTATGTACATGCACAGTGGGGACATGATGGTGATGTCGGGACAGAGCCGCCTCCTTTACCACGCCGTCCCACGCATCCTTCCAGCACCCCAGGGACTCGCAGCTTTAGAGAAGGAAGGGTGCGCCCCGGCCTCGTCCCTGCAGGACTGCTCTGTGGTGGAGCCGGTGTCAGAGGAAGACTGGGCGGTGTGCTCCAGGTACATCCAGAGCTCCAGAGTGAATGTGACTGTGAGACAGGTGTTGGGGCCTGGGCAGAGCTTCCCAGAAACCCCCTCTTCTCAGCAAAGGATGGATGCAGGCCAGACAGTGGGGTACCACGACGAAGCAGCAGGTGGAGACAGCGGGAAAAGGAAGAGGAGTAGCAGCTGTGACTCTGCTGATACTGTAAAGACATGAAAAGAGCACACTGACTCAGAGACATGATGCTGCATCTGGTACATGGCTAAAAAGCAGAAGCCACTCAGTCCGATGTGTTGTTGATAGTTAGGCTGGGTCAGTGGTAACATTTGTCCATACAAGCTGCCTGCTTACTGAGAACAGGAAGGTCACAAACACATTATCCTAATGAGTCAGGACATAAGTTCAGACTGCACCACATGCACAGAAAAGGTCCTAAACATACAGCCAGTGAAATGTTGATTACTTCAATCCAATTGATTCTGTTTCACTGCTGAAGAGCAGACTGATGGAAAACTGCCTCACAAAATGCAAGACACTGAAAGATGCCCTGAGGTCAGAGACTCCACACAGTCATTGGTTACAAAGAATTTGTCATGATAAAGTTATTCAAATTGAAAGACTGTTTATAACAATGGCTACCTTTATACTCAAATTAAAGCTGGAAGTCTAAATCCAGAGTAATTGATGGTTTGTCGTTAAAAACATTTTCTTGCCATGGATCTTTTTTTTCTTTTATTCTTAAAAACAACCTTCTGTATGTTACATGTGTTACAGGTATAGTGCATAGTGTCTATGGAACACACTATGCAATGAGGGAATATTAGTTATTTCAGATACTCACTTTCATCTTCATTTGACCTTCAAATAAAGTGGTTTATAAAATCTGTTCATGTTTTGCGATTCAGTTACTAACCAAGTGGGTACAATGTTATTATTACTGATAGAAACTGCAAAAGTAAGACCCAAGATCTATTAGACAGGAACTATCTGTTAAAAAGTTTCAAATCAAATATTGATATATGGTAATGAAATGAAACAAAGAGGTTACTGTCACTGTGTTAAGAGGAGACCTGAGCACAGTTGAACAGACTGTTGGCCATGCACTGCTGTTTTTATCCTTTCTCTTTCTCTGTATTAAACAAACTGCACATATCACACAATTTGGCAAAAAACATTTAACATCAGACGTGCCAGAGGGAATGCAAGTGAGAAAAATAAAGACCAATATTAAGGAAATAAATGTATTTATATACATACTTTACATGCAACACATATTACACACAACGTACTTAGGGTTTTATGGCTTTTTGGTTATTGGTACAAGATTTAATAGTTTTTATGTACATATCTGCATAACTCATGTCTGAATGAGCAACCTGCTGAGAACGGATACATTGAGGAATGAGGCTCATTTACATGACTGAATTAAGTTTTACTTCATTGAGACATGTGAGATTGTGTTGTTATTGAGCATGTAGGCCTACTCTGAAGAGGGTTTTTAAATGCATGTGGCTGTTCAGAAAGAAGAATGAGTGCAATCCTCGTGAGGTAGTGTCCTTTCTCCTTGGTCAGCAGGAGGGGGACTGAAAGCTCCATGATATGACAATATACCATTTCTCTTGTTATAACGTGAAAGCTTTTATGTTATAACAATAAAGTTATCACGTTATAACATGAAACATTTCATGGTATTCCATTCATGTTGTAACAAGAAAAGTTTTTTATGTCGTAGTAACATGAACAAATATCTTGTGACAACGTGCACTGTAATGCGAGTTATTTTAACGTTTAAAATGGTGGAATTCTTTTTTTTTTTTTTTAAAGTTAAAAAACATTCTTACTTAGTCATTTTTACTAGTTATTTAACAATACAAATAAAAATACTAAATTGAATTAATTTTACTTTTTACTAAGCAATGTTTTGAGTTAAATGAACTTCTCTGGCTTTACAGTGTGAAAACATGTTGCAATAAGAAGAATACCTGTATAACTGATCCGTTGTTCTCTTTGTGGTGTGTGTACTTTAAAAGCTTGAGAGCACAGTGAAAGGAACATTTATACTTGAGCTATAGAGAGTTTTCCTGCGTAATTACGCGCAACTTCCCGCGCAGCATTCTGCTGACAAACAGCTCCATCCATTATATTATAATAATGATGACGAGCTTTTTTCTTTTCTTTCTTTTTCTTCATTTCTTTCTGTAGAAACCTGTGAAGTGTTTAGTTAACAGTTGAATAGAAATTAACATTCCAATACAATTTACGAATGTGAATTTCTATTCAACTCATAAATGAATATTATTAATTAGGATGAAAGTGACAGAGGACCACACAGTCTGAATCCCACTATAGCTCACAGCACTAGTCTGGTGTCTCTCTGGCGGGGGACGCTGTGCACCCGCACACGCGCACACCCGCACACGCGCACACCTGCACAGGTACAGATGAAGTAAATGAGATTAAGGGTGATGTCATCCAACGAATAAAGAGTCGAGGGGGTTTTCTGTCTCTCCATCCTCTTTATTCCCCCTCAGCTGTCCTCATCAGATGGATCGGGCTGTGCTGGCTCTGCTCTGGGTGGCTCTCTGTGTGGGGATGGAGTGGACCCGGACCGGAGCCCTGCGCTCCGGCTCTCTGCGGCGCACCGACCCCAGTGTGGGGAGGAGAGACCGGCCCGTGAACGACACGGTGGTTCTCCACGACTACATGGTGTTTCTATACCGAACACTGTCCAAACTTCAGCGCAGAGACATGAACGTTTCACGCGGTGCGGGGTTTGCAAACACGGTGACAAGTTTTGTGGACCAGGGAAAAGGTTCGAGGACTACTGAAATTCTTTTCTTCAGTCTTTGTTTTTGATTTTAAAAGGAAGCTGCTGCTTTTGTTTCTCTAATAATTGATGTGAGTAAAAGTGGAGTAATGCTAAGTAAGTTATATTGTTAATAATTACAGCTAGATACATTTTTTTCATGTCAAAATCACAAATTTGATTTTTTTTATTTGTATTTATTTATTTTATTTTCTAGACATAAAACAATATTCAGACAATACACAAATAAAAATGACTCTATAAACTATAGAGTTTATTCATTATTAACACATTCAAAACAAAGATTATAGATCCAGTTAAACATAGACATTTTTATGGACAAAAAATAAAAAGTAAAACAGAACAAAACCAAACAGTGGTTCCACTCTGTATGTGGGGACTTGGCTAAGCATCCTGCACATATACTGTGTTTATGGTAAATATCACATAAACATCTGCAAATGCATGTGGGTGCAGTATAAACTGTCATGAAGTGAGCATTTAGGACCAGTGTTCCTTCTGATTGTGTCTACTTCTGACAAACAGTAATATCCGTCACATTAGATAGGTTGGCACACTGTGGACGCAAGTTATCAGATGATCAGTTATATTGAATTAGATCACTGATTTTAACTCTCTTGTGATACAATTTGTTTTCAGTTAATTTTTCAACTGTTTAGTTTATAAAAACACCAGAAAATGGTAGAAAGTGTCCATCAAAGGTATCCACAGCTTTAGCTACATTTTCAAATTGCTTATGCTTTCACAGTCCAGAACCCAAATACATTCAGTTTGCAATGATATAATATAATGCTCTGACTTAATCAATTATACATTTGTTATTGATTAATTGACTAATCGATTGATTGACTCTTTGCAATAAACATGTTAAAGCACTTTACTTTTACTTTTAGCTCAGTCATGTCTGAATGTTGTCTGAAAAAGTCAAATGTAGACTCTAATATAGCTCTGAAAATACAGAAGCCATGGGTTCCCAAAGCGGCTGTTGCAAAGATTTGTTAATTTCCATGTCTTATTATACATTTTAAATTATACAGTTTTGCCAAAACTAATGATATTATAGGCCTGAACCAGTATACCGGTTTTAATTCCCCATATGATATGATATTCCACCATAATGATGAAGAGCTGAAACAACTGCTGTAACTCATTTGTTTCTGTATACTTACAAATAATTACAAACATACAAATTAAATACATAAACAAATAAAAATAATGTTATACACCATGAAACAATAGAATCTTAAAAAATACTGTGATAGAAATTGTTGGTCGTACTGCCCAGCACTACTGACAAAAAAGTCAAAATGGAGGGGTTGCATGGTTTCAAAATGAGATTCAGACCATCAGATTGATCAAATAAATGAATAAATAAAAAAGAGAAATCGAAAAGTTTATAGATTTTGGGGTGTCTTTGGGGGAAAATGTCATTCTAAAATCCGTACGGCCCTGATCTCTGTGCTTCCCTCTTCATCAACAGATCTTCCATCTTGGGAGAGCGGTCAGCGTTACATCTTTGACCTGTCCAGCCTGCCCAGGATGGATGAGCTGGTGGAGGCGGAGCTCAGAATCCTGAGGAAGCCTGCGGTAGACCTCCTGTCTGTCCTAACAACCGGAGGAAACCTTTACAACATCCGTCTGTACTCTTGCTCTCCCAAGGGCGCGTCTGATCGACAGCTCCTGGACTCCAGAACTGTGGAGGTTCTGGATGGCGGTCTGCCCAGGTGGGAGGTGTTTGATGTCTGGTCCAGCATGAAGGCTCGTCAAAGGAATCCCACAGAACCAACGCAGGCCTGCTTCCACCTCCTGGCCCTGTCTGAGCTGACACATGAGGCGGCTGACCCGCTGCTCCTGGGGCTGGGTCGCCACGCTCGGCTGCCACAGGAGAGAGCTTTGCTGGTGGCTTTCTCGCACGCTGGCCCCAACGACAATCTGTTCAAAGAGATGATGGAGAAGATGAAGAATGAGGGAGGTGGATTTCGTCTCTCTAAGCCTCTCAAACCTATTCCAAAAGCTGAAAAGATGCACCGGAAGCATCGCCAAAGAGCCTTGTCCAAACGGTCATTTGGTGGGACAGGGGGAGGTACTGGAGGGAAAACTGGACACAGGAGGAACCGCTGCAGCCGTAAACCCCTCCATGTGAACTTTAAAGGTCTGGGCTGGGACGACTGGATCATTGCCCCACTGGACTACGAGGCGCACCACTGCGATGGGGTTTGTGGCTTCCCCCTGCGCTCCCACCTGGAGCCCACCAACCACGCCGTCATCCAGACTCTTTTGAACTCCATGGACCCAGATATCAGTCCGCCTAGCTGCTGCGTCCCCTCCAAGCTCAGTCCCATCAGCATCCTCTACATTGACTCAGGCAACAATGTGGTCTATAAGCAGTACGAGGACATGGTGGTGGAGAGCTGTGGATGCCGGTAGCACCAAGAACGCTGGTTGAACAAACACATGTGAATGTCCTTCCAACATTCATTTAATACTTTACTACTCTTACCATGTTTTTTCTTATTTAATGGTCTTACTTTGACTGAACTAAGATCAAATTACACCAAATCAGGTGTTGCGGCACTATCGTTTTATTTCTCTGATTAACCGGCTTTCTGGCTTCCCCAGCTCCCTCTCTTCATTTACTCTCTAGTTTACTTGACCACCACTGCAGCATGACGTCAGGTTGCTTTTCTAAAAAGTTTGATTGTGTTTCAACTCCCCCCCCCCCCAATCATACCTTTTATTTTTTTCCATTACTTTATACTGTCACATTGGGGACAGCAGAACAAGCTGAAAAGACAACATTGGCATATTATGAGCTCATACAGTTGTTATGGTGAACATGTTATTCCGCAGTTGACTGTCCCAGACACGGAACATCAATTTGGCATCATGTTTGTGTCCACTATTGACTCTCCTCTCAGCTGTTTGGTCTATAACAACTCTTGAGAAAAGTAGAGGCACTTTTGCTACTTAATGTTAAAATTTCTTCACCAGAATATTTTGTCTGGTGTTTGGTGTCAGTCAGTCATGGGGGTGAAGTTAGCAAAGTTTAAAAAGCTAAAAAGCCTAAGGAAACTGTGTGATAATATTTGTTTCACATATACATTGTTAATACAGAATATTGATTTGTGCAGCTGACAGAGTAACACTTAATTGTATACCTCAAAGCAGAGCTGCTTTGTCACTATCCTCAGAAAGAAACATTTCCATGCATGAGTCAAGACAGTCTAATGCATCATAAATAACACTTATAAAGGTCATATTTATCTTAAAATATTTTGTAAATCTTAACTTATATACTCAACATATAGTCATATTTTTGTATATCTCTATAGAATTTGAATAAACATTTGTTTTAGTAACTGTGTGTGTGGTTTAGTGGTTTTGCCAAACTAATTTTCTAGCATGTAAGGCACCCTAGGAGGCACTTTATCACTGCCCTGCCCCTCTGACATCCCGGGTCAACTGTTGAATTACTTTAATCTTTTGCGCACGGGTTCTGACTAACAACTATTAAATCTACCTGTGTTGAAATAAATATACAAATTCAGAAATGTTCATTGTCAAGGAATAAAAACTGACACTGGCAAAAAGCAGGAAACATCAAAATTTTCATCTTCAATTCAACTAATCAAATAATTAAATTGTTAAAAAATTGTTAAAAAATGAATGTTAAATTATTAAACAAGAAAATACACAGATCATGTTTGAACTAAATGTTCAATTAATGCAGAGCTCTTATAAAGTGAGATCATGTTAAAGGTACTCTCAGGTGCCGGTGTCAGTATTACAGCGGGTTGTTGTTTTCAGAATGTTTACCTCAGGCTGTTATTTAGTCATGAATAAAATCATGAAAGTCATGAAAAACCCACTTTTTAAATGGGGCTACTGTTGATTTCATTTGTTTTTATTACATTTTAGTTCATTTTACTCTTTTTGTTTTAAATGTTAATCCTATTAATGTACTATTTCATTGTAAAGCACTTTTTAACTGGGCTTTAAAGTTGCTATAAAAATAAAGTTTATCATTATTATATTATTGAATATTTTGTGGTATAGAGAAAACATTTATCACATTTAAGAAGGCAACCTACAGGTCACAATCAAGTCTTTCATTTATTAAACCTGTCATAACTCGTTCAGCAGACTAGTTGTTACAGTGTCTGCAAAGGAGTAACAAAGTGTTTACAAAGTTAGTACAGTGCATCATCAAAGGTCATTATTATAGGATCATTATACATGTCCACTAGTAACCAGTTTGGAATGATAGTAGCTTAATCATTTCTTGAGTCTTGCTTTGTGAACCATACATAAGCATCACTTGCTCTGCTTGCTTGGATGCCGACAGTTTCCACCAGGTTTAAATTCTCTATCCGACTCCATTACACTCACAGGCAGCTCTGACAATAGATGAAAAATAAAAAGCAGGTAAGATGAATTGTTACACTGCATATGCTGTTCAAATCATACACGGGGATGCATGAATTACTGCTGTATGTGAAAAAGAATGTAAAGTAAAATTGGCATAAGTGCAAAATGGCAACATAAAAGAAGTTAAATAATCACACCTGCCAGGTAATAGCATTAAATATGCTATTTCATCTTTGGAGACGAATGGCTGAATCTATACAATATAATAAATACATCACTCTGTTAAGAATCATAAAATATCTGTTTTAGCCTGATTCAATTTTGTATAATTTCTTATACATGGGTAAAACCACTTTATATAAGTTGTCATGTAACATTTAGGTTTTTATTGTGCTTATTATGAACCAAAGTACGTCATTATATTCACTCTCAATTCTGACTTCTGCTAATTAAAAAAACCCCGGCTGCCTGGTTGTTCGAGCGTCACCATCAGTGTTCATGTCAGACAGTAGATGTAAGAGTAGACAGGAAGAGAAGAACTCATGTCCTCAGATCTCCACTGATCCATTCCACCACCATTTTGGCAACGTCTCTTCCTGAATCCAGGACGAAGGCGTGGCGGAACCCGTTCTCACACAGTCTTACATCTCCATGTGGGAAGTCCCGTCTGATGTCTTGATAATACTGAACAGGGCACCAGTGGTCTGTAGCTCCATAGTAAAATATAAGCTGAAAATGGGAACACACAAGATTGAATACACAGTAACGGCTAAAAGAAAGCAAACATGTTGTCGTTATGTCTCATGTGTTTTGTCTGTTATCAGAAACTGACTTGTAGCTATTAAAGCTGCAGTAGGTCATTTTTATAAAAACAACTTTTGGTCATATTTGCTGAAACTTTCACTATATCCTGACAGTAGTACATGAGACAGATAATCTGTGAAACAATCAGGTTCCTCTGGCTCCTCCTAGTGCTCCTAATGGCATCTGGAAAAATCCACCGGGCCTGAACGAAAACAACCAATCAGAGGCGAGAAAGATGGAAGCTTTGAGCTGGTGGCCTGAAGATAGTTGATAGTTGAGTCTCAGTGTCCCAAAGTCTGTATCTGATGCCCTGGGAATTAGACTTAGAGTTTTTTTTATAAAAATGACCTATGCAGCTTTAAGCACAGAGAAATGTCACAGTGCAGATTACAGGCAGGCCTTTTCTTACCTTTCCAAGATTCTTGTTAATGGTTACATTGTCTCTTTCCAGAACTTTCTTCATTTCCTGACCCCCCATGTACATTGCATTGGCTACAAAGAGAAACAAAATCACACTATTGCTTTATTTCAGACATTTTAGAAATATTTGAAATATATGTAAAATATCTTTTCAAGAGTAGATAAAAAGTAGAATTCTATTTGTGACAAAACACTTTGGAATATTGAATCTGTTGGTTTGAATGCTGCTTTGATCACTGCAACAGCTGCCTGGTTACTGAAGCGAAGAGTCCGTACTGCATACTAATGTACATGCATCCTCTTCCTCAATCATAAAACGTTTGACACTGCAAATTATGTGATGGACACTCTAGGATGTATCTGTTTCATTTCAAATGACCTATAAATATGATTTACCACATTTGTTCTTTTGTGTTTTCTACAGTGCTAAAAACAAATAATAATAGGAGGAGACATTAACAGAAATTGATTGTGTTCTGCTGGATTTACTGAGCTCACGCAATTTGCGAAAGAACAAATGTAAACCAAGCCACAAGGACGCTTACAGTGGGGGAAGACATGTGAATTAAATACAAGCCTAGTTCTAAGAAAGAGGATTGATTATCAACAAATACAATTTCTGCGGTTAGCAACTGCACTTTTCTTTCTTGTTATAAGACCTTTGCAGCAATATGCCACAGCAACAGCTGCGCATACAGGCTCCGGCAGCTCCTTCAAACTCCTACATTTTTGTTTTAATCTGTTCATTCTTCTTGGCTTTAATGCTGAAAACATAATTGAATAATGTCTCAATGGGTTTTATTTTGAAGGGCTGAGCCAAAATTGTTCACATTTTTTCTGACCATAGCAACGGGTTATCATTATGGACCAATAATTTAATTATCCAGATAATTCATAATAATATAAATTTCCCATTATCAGCTGATCATTTATTTGTACTGATAATTATTGTGCATCCCTACTGTTTTCTGAATACAAGCTGTTGGAAAAAAGCTAGCACAGTAACACTGTACTAGACTGGCTTTAATAGAGCTGATTCAATACTGCATACACCTTCTCAATAAAAAGAACATTATAAGCGTCACAGGAGAAAAGAACAAAGCACAACCAACCTGCGCAGTCTCCACTGAGCAGACCTACAGTAGGCTGGAGCACAGTGTGGTCCAGAGAGTGAATGCCACCAAACACCAGTTTGATCAGGCTGGCTTTGAGTCCCTCAGGCAGCAGAGAGAGCAGGAAGAGAGGCAGGTAGGCCACATAACGCATGTGACACAGCAAAGGGGTCATGACCTTCCCCTGAGGAGTCTGAGCCATGTGCTCAATGGTGGGAAACAGCATGATGGCCTTCAAAATCTATGTTAACAAACAAAGAGGTTACAAAGGACACCTTTCAGCATGTCTGGATTAACAAATCCCAAAAGATAATAGGAGGTAAAAGATTCACTCTGAGATAACAACTTGTAAATGACGGAAAGCCCCTCAATATAAAAAGGGAGTTTTTCATGTCATCTAATATGTTTCCTTTTAGCATGGCGACCAGACACAGGGGGGATGTTTTAACAGCCTTGGTGCCGCCCTGTGCACAGGGGGTTGGTTTAGATGGTTTAAAGCCCCCTCCAGTCAGAAATCAGTTTCTTCTTGTTCCTACAGTGTGCTGTTTGAATGCTGTCTGTGCAGTTTGACTCTAGAAGGATGTTTTCACATTCATCTACTGAAAGTGGAAAGTTTCTCTGTGCTCATTGAAAATCTGACTTTAAGGGGCGGGGCCTACCAACAGGATCTGTTACATCACAAATAGTCTGGAAGTCAGTCCTGGTCCAGTATGCAACTTGTACAGTGTGATGTAGAAACTTGAAGCCACCAGTGCACATCCACTGAGTTTATTTCATAAAATATAATGTATAATAATTAGTATAAAATGTAATGTATAATATTTTATAACACATTAAAATCTTATTTGCCATGCCCATCTTTCTAGTGTTTTTTTCTTTTCATATCAACTTTTATTTTTTTATGTTTTACATTTTATTATTGTTTTTTCTGTATTCATTTTTAGCCTAGCAAAACTGTATTTATTGTTGTTCATTTTTTCTTTAATATGTTGTTTCAGTTTGTTATGTGAAGCACTTTGGGCTGCATGTTTGTATGAAAGATGCTATGTAAATAAAGTTAAAGAGCTGAGTTGCTGCAGCGGGCCATGGGTTTGAATCCAACCTGTGGCCCTTTGCTGCATGTCATCACTCTCCCTCCCTGTTTCCTGTCACTCTTCAGCTGTCACAAAAAAAACCGTGACTAACCTTGAGTTCAGGATTTCTCTTCATCATGTCCAGAATGATGTAGCAGCCGATGGAGTGCCCCACCAGGACCAGGCTGGTTTCTCTGGGAACGTGTTTGCTGAGGAAGGCCAGCTTGTGTTCAATCTGCCCATTCAGGCCGAACACGTCAGCCTCTGCTGCTGAGGAGCCATCTGTATCGAAAACTAGCCTGAGTTACTCACTGATAACAACTCCCAGTCTCTAAGTATGTTAGAGATGAATATTCCTAATGAATTAATCATGCTCTTTCTTTAAATGTACTGAGAATGCTGAGGTGTAGAGAACTTGAGAATAATGTGTACCTTCTACCATATCCATGGAGTCTGGTGGTACACAGTGGCCAGCGTGGCTCACGGCCCACACTGGGTGGCGGTATGCAACCATACTGTGAATTGTCTGCATGAAGGTTCTGTAGAAGCCCACTACACCTGGGTTACCTGTGTGGCAGACAGCAGGATATCAGCATTTCCCCACATAATGAAAGGCGCTATTTCACCTGTCAATGCCAGGTTCTACCAAACACCTGATCATTTAACATCAAGCAAGCATGTTTCTATCATCATATTCAAACTTTCATCATACATTTCATTCTCCCTATACTACATATTTCAATATTATATCTGTGTAAAATGGTACAAACAGTGACATTCAACATTAACTGCAGTTGAATGGAGATGGTTACGTCAATGTATCTACCTACTTATGATATTATATAAATTCAGGCTATTTTACATTATGGCAGAGAACAGTTGACTGGGGCCTCAGGCTGCTGTTGGGCCCCTAATGACTCCTATTACTGTGTATGAACCAATCATACTCCCATACTGTACTAATACTGCCCAAACCCAAGGTTTCTGTGCATTCACTAGTTTGTGATTACTTTATTTAGAAATACAGTGTGCACCATGCAAGCACAGAATTAACTACAATAATGACAGTCTTAAATAAATTAATTTTTTGACTTAGGGCTCATCTACAACAGTGATTCCCAACCAGCTGCTGTTGCCAAAAAAAATTAAAAATACATCCACATATTGAGCTAGCTATAACAATTGATTTAGGTGTTTTTGCAATTACAAGTGCGTGAACTTAAGGACATTAAAAAGATGACTAAAAGTAATGGCTAAATGGTTGAAACGTCCAACTTTTTCCACTTGTGGTACAAATGCAAACTTGACCAAACTAAACACTGACAGTTCAATTATATGAATATATTGCAGCATCCACTGTTATATGATTAATAGTTCAAAAACATCCAGTGTAAATGGATTCCAATGAACTTGTTTGGAACATAAATGGTGGTGGTGGTGATGAAGGGGTACTTGAGTTCCTCGAAGAGTGTTGTGTCAAAATTCCTAACATAATTGTACTATAAGTTCAATAAAAATGTAAAGTAAAGCTCCACAAACAACATTTCATATTAAATACTGCCATTTTCAATGCAATCGCTAACTGCTGGAAATAAGCTCATGATTTTCAGTGAAGCATTTAAATGTTTTTCTTAATAAATCAGACACTGATGGCACAGTGCTGTATTGTACCTGTTTATATAGGGGGTTATTTCTACCTGCACTGGTCAGGGGGCACTAGGCTGATGCAGGGCCTGTCTTTGGTAATATTGTACTGAAGTGGCAGCAAATGCATGTACACAGACTATTAGTCAGACTCACCTGGAATGATGAGAAAAAGCACCTTGTGTCCAGAATTTAAGTGACTGGAGCCAAATTTCAGAACCTCTGTGATGGCCCCACAGCAGTAGATAAAGTCTGTCTGTGGTTCATCCCTGCTGTCTGCCACCATGCTGTCCATCTCACTGGCTCTGGGGGGAGGGGAGGGGAAACTATGAATGCCAATTTGATCATTTTACATAATTCTATACTCCCTGAGCAGCTTGACTCCATTCAGTCACATGGTAAATACATGTGCAGAGATCCAGTGGCTGATACACTTATCACAAGGTCCAAAGGTGATGCACTTCATCCGCGTCACAGGTTTAAAAAGTGCTCATACTCAAAGAGAACCTTCTCTTCACATTCAAATTCAAATAACTGAAAAACACTTTTCCACCAGTGTAGCGCACACAGCTGTCAAGTTAAAGACGGAACACAGTGAGAAGACAAAGTTGGCATTTCAATTTATCTGATTCAATTATTGCTCATCTGTTGACGCCGAATAAAGAAGGTTTTGCTTAGTGTGCTATCTAATTCATATTGTGCGCTATCTATAAGGTATGCACCTCTGCCGATGTGATTCCGTGTAAAATGTGACATATTTTGAATGTAGTTTGGTGGAGGAGTAACACTAGGCGATCGCTTCAATTCAGTTACAATGACAAGCTACTGCTCGCTGTCTGATATATCTATAAATATATATAATGTGCAGCAGAATATCGTTACCTCTTAATAACGCTAATAAGATGAGGAAGATGAGGAAGATGATGTCCCCTCCATTGATTGATTGTTGATTGTTGATTGTTTCCTGCTCGCTCAGCGTGAGGACTTCCTGCTTCGCACACTGCTGGATTCTGATTGGTCAATTCAGTGGCCGTCCCACAATGCCTTTCTTCTCTTTGTTAAAGGGAACGGCCTGTTAAGATGTAAGCCAAACCAAATGTCATGTACAAACTGCAGTGTTGTGTTTAATGAATACACAGACTGAATACAGTTAAATACAGACACAAACACACACCGCACTGTTAAAAATGAATCCCCATTTAATTACAGTCAAATTCAAGTTCAGACCCATCAGTACAGGGGATACAATGAACTAATGGAAACCTGCTCTCCTGGGTTTCTGTGGTGTGACTGCAAATGATTTGAACCCATTAATATACCTGCTCCATTACAAATAAAAGCCTGCATTCTAAGGTTAGTTTAGTAAAAGTGTAGTCAGTTACATTTATTTAAAGTATCAAACGTAAATGTACTCATCAGATCGAATATAAATAGAATAAATGTATATGTGAATATATAGTGTTTTAATATATACCGTATTGGACTATCATCACCTAGACTCTATTATAGTAAAAACTGAATTGATATGTGTAAATTTATACGTAACCCCAGCAACCAGTGATAAGCGCAGTAACTGTGAAGTGTAAACTGCTTTTGTGTGACATTTTTGTAAATAAAGCTTGCCTGAAATTGGAGCAAAGCCGGGTAGTCTTGTGCCAATGATACAAATGTTCATATCTCCAAAATGCTCAGCTCTTTGTGAACAGGTGGTGAGCGTGTGGTTGAAATTTACAACAAGTTTGTGCAGTACAGTTTGGTGAGTCCGCACTCTCATACGAACGCCTTGTTGAAAAGATAAGAAAGATTTAGGATAAGAATATGAAAATGATCTTGAATGAAGCAGCAAAAACAGCAGAGGCTACCTGCTTCTCCACTTTTCAGCCATTCATGCAGTTGGTTTTCTGGTGTGTAATGAGCATTACTGCCTCACAGGCATGGCCATTATGATTACAAAGTCAGCAAACATTGGCTCATGAGTGTCAACAGCACCTTCAGGCTCAGTCCTTTTAGTCAAAATGTCATGTTTTTTTTTCTCTCCCTCTAATCCCTGCTGAGGATCCTGTCTTTGTCACTGCCTGTTGCACCTGCAGAAGTTCACCATCTGATCTGACTTTCACTCTTCACAAACAGAAACCAGTCTCTGCTGTAGAGGAACAGTGCGCAGTTCTTTTACTAAAGGTCAGTAGAGTAGATCATATGAGACTAAGCCCCTCACTCACCTGTGGATCTAGTCATCCTTACACCTGGGAAGATAACTACTGCCCCACGGAATTTGTCCTGTTAGAGGTGGAAACACAAAATCTGCTGCAGGAACTGTCAACAAATGTAGCTACACTTAGCAAAATCTAAATTTTAGATTCAGTATATTTGTCAATTATCATGCCTTAATTGGTAGACAAAGCTTTTTTTATATATAACTCCATATAGTTTTTGAAATGCAGAGATTTCCGTATCATACTTTATTTAGTCGTTAGTCACTAGCTGTTCCTCATTTTATCTCATAGGAATACATTATAAAATGTCTCTAAGGTCTGCACAATGGCAATACTGAACCAAGAATAAGCAGCAAACTGCACACCACAGGGCCAGTCTAGAGACAGTGTTTGGTTTGTCCATTCTGGGCTACTGTAGAAACATGGCAAACTCCATAGAAGGTCTCTAGACATAAACAGCTCATTCTAAGGTGATAAAAACAAAAAAGAAATATTCTTATATTCAGGTGATTAAACACTAATGAAAACAAACCTATGAATATTATATTCCATTTCTGACAATAGATCCTCCTCAATGTTACACACTGGACCTTTACAGGGTTAGTATGTGCCACTTAAGAACAAATCTATCTGAGTGAGTCTTACATGTTTTTCTATGTGAGGTGTAGACTTAGTTTGTACAATATGTCTATTGTTATGTCTCTGCTTAGTCATGACAGCATCTCAGTGATGACTGTCCACACCTGACAAGGACAAAGAACATAATTGTGTTGTTCCTAAAAATACAGGGTTTACTTTCCCGATGACTCATAATGATGTGCGGTAAAACTATGCAGAATTATGCAACCAACTATTATTTCCCTCCTTTCACTCCTCACAACATTGTCCTCATACTAACTTTATATTGCTGAGCTGCAATAGTGCCTCCTTTGATTAAAAACAGATAAAGAGAGCATGACTTCCTGAGTGTCCTGTTAGGAACAAATGCATAAATCACAGGGATCATTTTACTTTTCAAATAACACATTCATAAAGTCAGCCACTGAGTGAATTCAGATACTCTTTATTTTCTGTATTATGCAGTGCTGTGGAGGGTACAATATCACAGTGTCATCTTAAGAGTTCAGAAAGAGGTCGCCCAGGCAAACATTATGTGGATTTACCACAGCTCTACCATACATTGTTGCTCTGCCTTTAGTGATTATTTCAGGTGTGAGTTGTCTTCACCGTTAAAAATGACTTCCAGGGTTTTTCTATTTTTTTAAAATCACATTATTCTATACTGAGTCTAAACGTGGATGTTGTGCTATGTTATCACAGCAAGTGCAGTTGTTACTGGTTCCTCTTTCATTTGTATTGCACAATTTTAAGCACAGATATTAAAGGAGAGTTTTCTTTCCAATTATGTCTTAAAGCTGCAGTAGGTAACTTTTATAAAAATATTTTTTGGCATTATTACTTATAATTTTGACAGATGATTATAATTAAAAAAATAGCAAAAAAAACCAATCAGAGTCGAGTGAGATAGTTGATTGTCTCATTTCCAGGGCATCAAATACTGACACTTTGGGACCCTGGGAAAGAGAATCAACAAGCTTCCAACCCAACGCGTCTTTATATCTTTCTCATCTGAGTTGTTTTCTGGTTGTTTTTGTTGACCTGATTTTTTCACAGATTATCTGTCTCATGTTCTACTGTCTGTATATAGTGAAAGATTCAGCAAATATGTCAAAAACATATTTTTCTAAAAATTACCTACTGCAGCTTTAACACAATGCTAATATGCCCATACGTACATTGAAACATCTCCATTGAGAGATCCTCTAACAGGACCCCTGAACCTATCGTGACGTTACCAACTGGTGTGTGGAATACTGTTTTGAAGCCTCGAGTTTGGCATTATGGTCGTCGCCATGTTGGTTCTCTGGAGCCACCAGAGGTGATGTATTGCAAGTGCTCTCATTGGCTGTGCAGTTTCAACTCATCCGTAGCAGGAAACAATGGCAGCTCACCTGGTCAAACACAATCTCGTATTACAGATAAACAGTACACTAAAATATGTTTCTGAAAGGATTTGAGGAGAGAAATAATCAACACAGTAACAGAATCTGGATCCATATCTGATCAGCACTGCCTAGTTTGACAGTTTGATCTGAGTTTGGTGCGTTGAGCTGGACGGACTCACTGAGAATGAGCTGTCTATCACAAGATAGCCACACCCTAAAGCATACCCTGCTTTATGGTCTGTTTTACTCTAAATGGGACTATCATTTACTAAATGAACATCATGCTGTATGGAAGAAGGCTGAAACTAGAGATTGAGACCACATGTATTATAAGCAAACATACATACAATAAAAGCTCTGGTTCTTTGTTGGTTGTATGACATTATTAGGTTGTTACATTATTAGATTATTAATACTGATGCATCCTTGTGAAAGTAGCATTTTACTGTTGTAGCTGCTCGAGGTGGAGTTAGTTTGAACTACTTTATACACAGTTAGGACCCCAGCCTAGGGGTCACACCCCCTCCAAAGGGGCCCGAGATACATTTGTAAGTGTAATTGTATTAATTTTTTTTCTTTTCTTGTTGTTGTTGTTGTTGTTTCTGTGAAATATTTGGACCTCAAACAGTTTAAAACCATCAGGGAGTTAGGAAGGAAAATATCTTTTTGGTGGAACTGCTGAACAACACATCTGAAATGTGACAAGTGGCACAACTGCTTTTTTTTGTAAGAGGTCACAAGCCAAGTATTTAACAATATATTGTATTTTATAAGTTTATTATATATTTTTATGTCAAATAAATGTAGTGTATAATGTACAATATCACCTGAAATGTTGTCGAAGTGGAAACTACACAAGTGCAAGAAGAGCTAATTGCAAATTAGCTCAAAATAATTAAGCAGTACATAAGTAGTTTCTACCACTTCTACCTGTCAGTTGATATGTGTGTTTTAGTAGTGTATATTGCACAAAGCACTTGCCACACAGCCTTGCTCATAACAGCCAATGAAGTAAAAACTAAATCTGTTCTGATATGTACCTACAGCATATAGTTCACAATCAGTGACTTTGAAATTACAAAATCTCATATATTTGAAATTATGTATCACTCAATGTCTCACCACATTTTTAAGACAATCTTTTTCCTTTGCTAATAATAACAATAATTCTAGACATGAAAGATATCCAAAGGTTTCTGATCTCTTGATTTAATAAAGAAATGTTGATACAGCATGACAAACACAAAAATAGTATTCAGTACTGTTTAATTGAATACAATCTGACTTACATGCAAAACATTGGTGTATCATAATTTTACAAACTGTCAAATTTAAAGAAATCTCATAACAATAGCTTGTATGTGTGAGTTAAAACACTTTTAAAGAAATTTTTAATGCCGTCAAACAAACATTTTTTCACAAAGACATAAATTCGGTCAGCCATAATGAAAGCACTTTATCAAAGAGGCGTGATTCAGTGCGTGTTTTGCTTTGGCCATTCACTGAAAGACTTCCAAAGGAAGGGCAGAGAGATTTCTATGTCCATCTTTTTACTGCTCACTTTAATGTATGGTGCTGCATTCTGGGAAGTCGTTCTCATTAGGTCAACACTTTCATTAACTATACTGTAGATATGAGACTGCAAAATACTGGTAAGACCCTTGATATCATCATTTACACGCTCCACATTTAAAGCATTATAAGTCTCTTGAATCTTCAGTTTGGTGAGGTCTTTACACTCAGCCACAAATCTCTTTGCCTCCTCAAGATGTTGTTTTGAAGACTGCAA